ACGAGAAATCTCTCTTGAAGAGTAGATAATCTTTATGGAATTCACAGCTAAAAAATCATGCATGATTAAGTAACATAATTCGCAGATCCATTCAGCTAACTAGTGCCAGTCTGATTCCCACGCTCAAAGCTTGCTTTCGAAGTATGTCAATTCGGGTATCGGAGCCCAAAGGCACAGACGCTTCATTTAACTATTTATCTAATTCTATGTTGAGTCTATGACAGTTCACTTGCACCTGGCAATCAATCAAGAGATTCATTATCAAGCTGCGAGTGAGCCGATCTCTGCTTGGTCTGTCACATTCTCCTTCGCCTTCACGCTGTCTTTCCATTACTAAGACTGGACCCTACTCGAAAGCTCTTTAAATGTTTTTACTGCTGCTGTGGCTGCTGCTGCGGCTGCTGCTGCTGCTGATGCTGCTGCTATTGTTTATGTTATTAACACAACAAACAACCACTTAACTTTGTAAATCTGTTCAGCCATTTAGCTTTGGCTCTAAAAATAAACATCAAAAGCAAAAGGCGGCAGTCTGCGTCGTCGTTGACTCTGTCGCTTGGCCAAAAATAAATATTGAAAAACCTATTTTTAATAATGCCCCGGCAATCGGTCAATTGCACAAATTGAAGTACGCCTCGTGTTAATTGGCGTCTCGGCAGCTCAACACGTGTCTACAGATCGACAGATACGATTCGATTCGACTCGACACGGACCTGAAAATACAGCTAATGGTTGTATCTGAATATGTCTCTCCCTCTGTCTCTCAGCTCTTAAATGCGTAATCATTATTATTAATTATCGTATAAAATTATGTATATTTAAACAATTTGCCTAGACAGTTGATGTTAATAAACATAGCATAACAATTGTTGTGGCAAACGGTAATTGCCAGCGCAGTTCTCCTCTTGCAGTTCATAAATCAGGCGAACTGGCAAAAGTATCTGACAGATACAAATGGCATATGGCCGTAGAACCTGGCGCACCGAAGCGTCGCTTAATGATTGCAACGCTTTTACGTACATTTACACTTCATCAATTGCGTAGTTTACAGTACCAGCAACAACAAGAACAATAACAACAGCTATAGCTGAGGGCAACAACTTGAAAATGTGAATTTCACCTCGAATGAAAAATTACGCAATGAAAATGTCATCGCCTCGCCGCATCATGTAAGTCCGTTTAATCAGCGAAAAATTTGATACATATACATACATATAGCGCCCAGAGTCAAGTTCAATTTGAAACGATCTGGAAAGCCATTACGCAGTTTTTGGCCATATCTATAAATAGCCTGGCCTTATATCTAGCGAGCTAATGCGTAATACCAACGACGCATTTCAGTTAATGAAAATCGAATCGACAATCACAAAGTGGATTATTATTATTATTATATGTTCTATTGCAAATTAAGCTATTTGATAGCTTTGCAAAACAAATATATATCTCAATTATTCTTAAAATAAACGAAAAAAGCGGAAGACTTCAAAGAAAACAACGGAAATGAATGGAAGTTAGAAATATCGAGCTACATTGGATCATATATGTTGCAGGTGTTATATTGCAATGTGGCAAAAGCCTATATAGACAGATGGGCAACGAAATGTCTAGACAGATATAACATAACTATTGTCTTTGTCTTTGTCATTATCATTATCATTATCATTATCATTATCATTATCATTATCATTATCATTATCATTATCATTATCATTATCATTATCATTATCATTATCATTATCATTATCATTATCATTATCATTATCATTATCATTATCATTATCATTATCATTATCATTATCATTATCATTATCATTATCATTATCATTATCATTATCATTATCATTATCATTATCATTATCATTATCATTATCATTATCATTATCATTATCATTATCATTATCATTATCATTATCATTATCATTATCATTATCATTATCATTATCATTATCATTATCATTATCATTATCATTATCATTATCATTATCATTATCATTATCATTATCATTATCATTATCATTATCATTATCATTATCATTATCATTATCATTATCATTATCATTATCATTATCATTATCATTATCATTATCATTATCATTATCATTATCATTATCATTATCATTATCATTATCATTATCATTATCATTATCATTATCATTATCATTATCATTATCATTATCATTATCATTATCATTATCATTATCATTATCATTATCATTATCATTATCATTATCATTATCATTATCATTATCATTATCATTATCATTATCATTATCATTATCATTATCATTATCATTATCATTATCATTATCATTATCATTATCATTATCATAATCATTATCATTATCATTATCACTGTCATTTTCATTTTCATTGCCATTGTCATTTTCATTTTCATTTTCATTGCCATTGTCGTTGTCATTTTCATTGTCATAGTAATTTTCATTGTCATTGTCATAATTAGCATAGTTATTCTTATTACTATTAAATTAGATATTCTCTCTATCTATATCTAACTGATTAAACTGTTTTCTGCTGTTTCCTTTACAACGCTTATCGTTTTACTTCTCCTACCCTCTATGCCCTCTCTGTGTATATTTAATAATCTATAGCTGCACTATGTTTTCATTGAGCTTTCAGCAGTGTTTGTTTACATTGTTGCTGCTGGTCAGCTGGGCGGAGGCTCATCTCTATTTCGTCTCAATGTATCCCATCTCGTTTTTGTGTATATTCAAGTGATTATCTAGCCAATTAGTTGAACGTTAATTAGCCGCATGCCAATATTTGCATTGTTCTTCTGTTTAGTTTAATTACAACAATAATTTGGAGGCTACCAATTGCGACTTACTTGAACAGCATGGCAAAAAAAATTATGAAAGCAAAATGCGTTCGCCCACCCACTTCCCGTGCCCCCACCCCCAGAAAACTCAGACCCAACACGCAATTTGCTTTCATAATGCGCATTTGGCGAGTGGGGCGCCACATACACAAGATTAGACAAAAGCTAATGGCAATGCATATGGTCTGCTACAACTCTATACCCGATTATATACAGTCTATAGATATTTATATATATATACATATATACATATAGTATATGGGTGATGAGTATGAAAGTCAAAATGGGTCATTAGATAAGCTGCACTATACGCATATGCACGTGAGCGCGCATTTTCTGAATGATTTATGAGCGACAGCTAGCGAATAGGTATCTTAAGTCTTATGACCTGAGTGTAAAGCGTGTACCGGGCGTGTTTCTTGCCAATTTGCGATATCGGTTACCATTCTATAACTATATGGTAATGCACATAAATCAGCTGCACTTGCCGCAATTACCAACACACGGCCTGCTGTAAATCTTGTCAGTCAATCAATTGAATGGCCACATTGGCGTTACACCTTGATCCAGCTCGTAACTTGACCATATCAAGACCCTGGCACCTGCACAATGCAATTTGAATTTTGTTGATAAACATAACTTTGACTGCTTTTGTTGCTGTTGTTGTTGTTGCTGCACTGGTTGAGTTCCCAGTAAAAATAAGTAAAAACTTTGGCTCTGCGCCGCAGACGTTGCACGAATTCGCTTATCAGCGAATGCGAGTCAGCGATTAAATTGGCAATTACGAGTATATCGCCACATCGGCGCCTCGCACGTGACCAGTTTCAAGTTCAGCGCCGCATAATTTCACGACTGTCGTATAAAATAAATAAAAAATAGAGCCAAAGACGCACCACACCACACCACGCACCACCCAAAGGCCAACCTGCCAGCGATAGTCTCTTATCTAATGCCTGTTTGCAACGGCACTCTCTCGCTCTCGTTCTCGCCCTCTCTTTCCCTTCATCTCACTCTCTCTTTCTATGTCTATCTCTGTAGCTGTGTCTGCACTGGCCACACGCGTTACGCGATGCCCTACGGCAACGACTGCTTGACGGACAGGCGTCACTTGGATTATGGAACTAAAGCCAATCTAAACACAAAAAACTAAACTGAACTTCAGCGCGTGTCAAGGCCAGACAATGGCAGCTGCAATGGCCAAGACCTTCGATTACATGAGCCATTATATGACTAAAGGGGTTACATGATTTTATAAGAATCATACCTATATGATTTTCTATGTATGTAACAGTCAGAGTAAGGAATATATAAGGCACGCATAAGCAGCTGGTGAAGTAATTTTATATTTATCCTGTGATTAAACTTCAAGTCATTTTGGTTAAAGAATAAGTAGTAATTGTTGGTTCTTAATTATTTCTATTATTCAGTATTTATGTGCTTGATCTCTATAAGTGCTTGAATCAATATATAACCTGAAACTCTATACCTAGAAGTATTAGCAGATGAATCAATTCAACAACCCTTTTTCTCTATTGATACTGATTGGAGTAAGATATATCTAACGCTATTATATATAATCACATATATATCTTTCAAAATATATTCTTTAGTTATCCTTAGTTATATTCAAAGATAGATATATATATATTCTTGATCAGAAGCAGCAATAGGACTTTTGCACAGTTGCTTACAATTAAAATCATTTTATAACCAGCGATAGGCCTCTTCCTTCCTATAAATTATATATACTCTTAATTCTTATCAGCTGATAAATTCCACTTCTATATCAGCCTTTGAGTTCCCACACAAAGAAGTCTTTCTCATGCATTTAAGCTATTTATGACAGATCAAAGGTCAGTTGGCTTTTTCTATTTACTAAAAATTTAAAATTTATGATAGATCAAATTAAATGGCAAAAGTAAAGCTCCTTATAAAAGCCCTCTTACCGCATCGTTATAAAGCGTATTCCATGGAAAAATTGTTAATAATCGTATTCAATCTGATCGAGCTAGTTGACATTGCGGCTACTTCCCGCGTTAAAAACTTATCTAGAGGCGACTTTTATTTTTTTTTATATTTTATTTTAAAGAAAACCCCCTTTTGTGTAAACAATCAATCGAATGACTTGGCAGAACACAGAGAAGCGCCATATTTCACAATGATTGTGTTTTTTTTCGGTGTTTGGATTTTATTGATCACTTGATTTATGTGGAAAAATGCGATGATATATTTTTAACATTGCTGGTGAATTTTCTATTTTGGTTTCGATTTCGATTACGGCGATTGGCATCGGCGTCGGCATCAGCGGCGCCGTCGCAGTGGCGGCGTCGATTGTTTGTACTTTATTTGAGGTAACGTTTCATAAAATGGCATTAAGTGGTATTAAGGCTGCCAAACGTAGTTTGTTGTTCGTGCTTTTATTTTGTTTTTTTTTATTTTGTTTTATTTTCATTGAAGTGCTGCCGAATCGTGGCCCAATGCCACCTGTGGCCCGTGTCTGTGACTTTAACTAATGATATTTTAAACGGAAATGCCACCGACATCGACGCCGTCGTCGTCTACTTCTTACTTCTTACGCTCAGCGACCCCCATTGCCATTGCCATTGGCTCCAGCGCCAGCTTGGGCTCCCATATTGAATCCAGCACCTGCACCACCCTTAGCTTCACCACCGCCCTGACCCTCGGCCTCGCCAGCAGCTCCAGCTCCGGCTCCAGCGCCCACAGAAAAGCCCGACTGAGCAGCGCCCTTCATTTCTCCTGCTTCGTCCGCGTGGACAGTACACTGCACGAAAGTTGAGCAAAGTTAACTAGGATACTTGCGAGTTGCCTTCAATACTAACCAGCAGCAGCGCCAACGTAGCACAGGCCAAAATTATAAAGGAAGTTTTCATAGTTTCCGCTATGAGTTGAATATCGAAATAAACTCTAAAGTTTTGAAGCAGCCGAGCTTTATTATATATAGCACATGTTTGGCCAAGGTTCAGGCAAGTTTAATGCATGCATTTCAGCTGGGCAGCACTGACTGCCTAATACTCGCTAGGAGAGTAAAATAATTTCTACTAAGCCAACTGGCTCAGAGCTCTTTAGTACTCACAAAACAAGTGATAAGTGTGGGCCTTACCATTCGCAGAAAAATCCCTATCATTCGAGGCTTTGCACAAATATAAAGACAGACTTTCTGCTTCTTCTATTTCCTTTTCGTATTTTAGCTGTTCGAGCTTAACCAATATTCTCCTTTTGAACTCTATGAAATGCATGTAGAACACTTGTTAGAGATGCGTATCGCAGCTCAAATACTCGAAAGCCTTCCACAAAAAACAAGTGCCAGATCGCAATCAGCTGCTGCTGCTAATTAAATTCAAAGTTCATGCCAAAATAACATTTTCCGGCTGTCGATATCAATGCGAATTGTCGTGAATAGCATTTGATAAGCTCGTGCACAAATTTATTTTTAATGCAATTATTATTTTTTTGCTATTGTTTATATTGTTGTGTATGTTCATATGATTATTTAGAAAAATAAAAATAAATTATTATGTGTTGACAAACGTCTAATTGGCGCCCGCTGGACGGGCTCGCATGTCTATTAATAAATTAATAGCCTATGTCAATCAGCCAATCCCACCGTGTCAATATGTCAATCTGCCAGTGTCTAAACATTGTTGCTGTTGTATTTGTAAACAACATTGCGAAATTGAACTAAAAACATGTAAGAAACCTACTGTCGGGAGTGCCCGACTATGGCGTTGAATAGCTTTTGCTCTGCCTCTTCAAAGAGTTATCGAAGAAGGGAATACACATTCACTCGGAAGGAGTTCCGACAGCTCCTCTTTCGAATAAGAAATATATATACTTTATATTGTCTGCCACGCCTTCTTCTGTCTACTAAACAAATATACCCTGAATTCACATTTTCAATGGGCATATCTATATAGTGACATACATAGAACAGCTGGCAAAAACAGTTCAGAGATAGTGGTAAAAGGAAAATTTATGGCATATACTTTGAATATGATTATAAAATCGATATGAATTTTTACTTTGAGCTAGAATCTTTTGAATATATACGCCTTAAATCTCATTCGTAATCATATATATTTTATAGATTTTATATTTCACAAACATATCTCTCTCGCTCTGCATCATTCATCGTTCTATTAGACTCACTATAGACTATACCTATATATATATATATTTATATATATATGTATTCAAATCAACTGATACCACAAACATATTGAAATTATTCAGGTGGCAAAACAATGCAAGGCTAAGACCAAGCCGACTTCCGACTAAAACCACCTAAGCCGACTAATCGATGATCAGTTAGTCAGTCATCAAGTTTAATTAAAATAATTGAGTTAGTGCAGCTGCCGCTGCCGCTGCTGCTGCTGCTGCAAACAGTAGTCTGCCGTAGCTGCATCATTTTGCAAATTACATTGGCAAAACAACAGCAATAAAGGTAAACAAAACAATTACAATAAACAATCATACACACACACACACCGCCCAATGATATTTCGAGTTAATTTGTTTATTTGCCTGGCGCAGCAATTGTTGCTGCTGCGGCTGCTGTTGTTGCTGCTATCGTCGGCAATCATTAAAATTTAAACAAATAAATAAATAAGCCGCATGCCAATTTGACCAAATGCAGTTGCCAATTGTTTCACATTGAATTACCACGTACTCAATGGCTCTGCTGCCTCATTTTATCAGCATTTAAATAACTTTGCCAAAAAGGGGATTTCAGCTTGAGCAGGGCATGTGTGAGCCAAACAAGAAGTATTTCAGTGATAGCATTAATTGTTAAAGCCGGGGTAACATGAACTCGACTCTTTCTCAACTAGTTCCAGGTTCTATCTACCTGTCTCTCTGGCTTTAGCGGCTTTAGCGATCCAACTACCACATTATATTGCTACCATGGTACTTCAGCTATATTTTTAGCTAATCAACGCTTTTAACCTCTCGAAATATGTCAAATAAATTGGCGTTTGAAAATTTGATAATGCCCTTAACATATATAAACAAATATTTAGTATCATGTCATCAACTTTATATAGAGAATTCGTTGCAAATATAAGCTTTTACACGTTAAATCCTTTTTATATAGCTTAAAATAAAATATTGCGTGTGGTTGAGGTAGTTAAAAATGCCTTCAGCCAGGTCGTCGCTCTAGCAGGTGTGTCGTAATGAATTTGCTGCTTACTGACTCAGCTGCTCAGTCTTGGACAGCCTCGCCCCTTGGCGCATTCCTCTTCAAGGTGTGTGCTCTAACATCAGTTTACCTGCCTCCTGGTGTCACAATAATCAACAATAATCATAATTTTTTTCAAAGTGTACTGTTTTTACAGGGTATTCAATCGTCGGCCTATCTATTGCACGCATTCCTTGTTTTATACTTTGATTTTGTATTTTATTTTATTTCGCCACAATTTATTTATTTACATCGCAGCGACTGTTATTAGACATTGTTATTGTTATTATTATTATTATTGTTGTTGTTGTTGTTGTTGTTCTGTTGTTGTTTATGTTTTACGATTTTATTTTGCCGGCGGCAGCCGCTTTACTGTCTGTGGGTGGCCACAATAATGGCAGTAATCGACGATTATCACGTAGCCTCCCCAAAACCCATTTCCAATCATATCAATCGCCGTCAAATTTACTCTGACAGCCCCCAAAAAAGATATAAAAAACCAATGCATAAAAAACAAAACAAAATATATATATAGAAACGCAGTTGAGGCAGTAAATCTCATTAAAAATTAAATCAAAATTAAATGTTCATCAAATGCAATAAAAATCATTGCGCGTGTAATTTTTAAATTTGCTTTTTTTTGCTACCACCCCCAGCCCCAACCCTACCCCAGGCAGCTGTTTGAAATTGGATTCTGCCTGGAGATGCGGAAGCCCATTTATGAGACGCGAATATGGGCTATATAACTGCGAATGTGTTTATAGACTGCACTTTTATAGTTTTTTATCGCTTTGTTGTGACAATAATAAAAAGCTTTAATATCACACATATATATATTTAGGTATTTATTATCATACTTTATTTGAGATGTGCAGGAAGTGAATCACTTTTCCAGGGAATCCATGATAGTTGCAGGGAACGGCTATAGTACGAAAAGGACTGAGCGTGGCAATTGCAACGAGTTAGAAAGAGAAAAGGGGGAGTGAGAGAGCTCTATGAATGACTGTGGTAGGGAGAAGGAAAGGTGGCAAGAGAGGCAGAGGCAGAGAAGAAGAAAGAGACAGAGAGGTAAATATTGGAACCAAAGAAATTAAATTATATGAATAGATCCAAAGCAATGAGAGCAAGCAAATATATTAAATTAAGCTGAGCTTAGAATGAGTAGCAATAGTCATTCGTAAAGGAGATATGTTTAAAGCTGATAAATCATATAATAATTTAATACTTCTATTGAAAATACAAATATGAAAACATTTGAGCAAGTCACCGAAGCAGAAAATGTTTAAGTTCTCAAGAAAAGGGACTAATCCTAAGAGCTTAAGAAAAAACTATTAAAATAAAGCATTAAGGAAAATAAAGAACAAAGGTATTTTCAATAAATGAAAACGAATTCAAATTGCAATTAAAATGAAGAGACAAACAAAACAATTTGAAGGTTGCGTTATGACAAAATTTGTTATGTGATTGTCAATTGGCAATTGGCAATTGGCAATTTGCAGGCAATGCGGAAAATGTTGAAATGTTGCAGTTGCCCTCCGAGTGTTGAATGCAATTTTCAATTTGGTCAGTTCATGCGCATGAACGACCTCAATCCACAATCAACAAGGAGCACTCGACTAACGCCTACGGCACAAGCCGACAATCCTTTTGTGAGTGCAAAACGTATGCTTAAACGGATAGACAGATGCTTGTTGGTCTGTGGTGCGTCGTCCTTCACAGTCTGCCCACAGGGCTGACGACGGCGACGACGGGTCAATGAACAGCCCATGGATAAGGGGCGAGGCTGGGGTGGTCATCATGCACTCGCAAGGATAATTGAATATGACGATGATAATTTCATTTTACGCTGAATAAACACAAACTGCACATTTTGATACGTTGCCCAGCCTTTCTCTTTGTCTTGCTACCCCGTTGCCAGTTGCCAGTTGCCAGTTGCCAGTTGCCTTTGCCTGTGCGTCAATTAAAGCGCCCACAAGCAAATGATATGACCGCCCAGTTAGCCCATTTCATTTTGAGGCGGGGCCCAACTTAATTATGAAACAGGACGCGCGTGGTCGTTGGCTGGATAATGACCTTCAGCCAAGCTTTGCTTCTACTCAATCTTATTGTTTATCCATTTTCTCAGTTTGATACACGCTCATGCCACTAAAGTGGAGTATATGCAGTAAAGTGTCTGATGAATGGATTAAGATTTGTAGCAGTAAATCTGTAGCAAACTGAAGTTAATTTTATTTGAAATCAACTCTTAAGAGCTTATCTCTCCCATTGATCTTTGTTCATTAAAACTATATATATATTTAACTCTGCCTTAAGCTGTAGTTGAACTACGAGCGCGTATTGAGCTGTCGAGTACAGCCCTTAGTAAGGCTGTTTCTTATGCTTTTTTAGGTACATAAATCATGCGCATCGATTGCGACTTATCGACTCTCGGCTCAGCTCGGCTCGGAACAGCCCGGAATCCCCACGCAATATTCCCAGCTTAGCTTAAGTATGTACCTTCCACTTGACGTTGTCGCCGACTTCGTCGTCCTCGTCGTCATTTTATTAGTCACAATTTGCGTTTTATGCGACTTCATCGTAATTATTTACAACAATGATTGGCGGACATCGGACGGACGTCTTGCATGCCAAGTGTAGCCCAAGTACAACGAGTCTACCCAACTACAACGTGCCCACATTGAAGCAACGACAGCCAGTGCCAGGGCCGTAGTCGGTGCCATTGACTGAGTATCGGTATCTGTAT